AACCCGGTGTCATTGCAAGTGGTTAACAAGTTGCCATTGTGGTTTTTTCTTGGGCCCGAGGGAGGATGTCTGATCTGAGCATCGGAGTGGTCAGAGGTTCGCCATGTCGGATTGGAGTCGCAGTCGGAAGATCTTTTAGTTTTTTTTGTGGCACCAAAAGGCACGTCCACTTAAATACTTCACAGATCGCACTCCAAGCATCGAACGGCTCCAAACAGCTTTGAAGTCAGCGATGTGCCTGAGCCAGTCGACTGCCTGAGTCTGGTAGACAACTGGCTCAGGTGCAACACTGGCAGAGGCACTCGCAAACTGGACTTCTGAGTAGTGTCTGTCTTAACGCAAGTTGGTCGAGCTAGCATGTGGCTTTCGACCCAAGGCTGGAAATCGGACTTCTCGGGCCTGATCTGCATGACTCTTTCGCAAAGAAACAACATACAGAAGCCCGCCGACAACCCCCTCTGTGCAATCAACACCACAGCTAAGACAAAGCAAAACACACTCCGACATGCACCCAAACCTGTTGGACCTCAACATAACAGACAGTGAGAAGCCGAACCTAGAAAATAAGTAGTAGCTGTGGTCGCAGAAGCCTGAGGCATGACAGAGATAGAATGTGTGGTGCAGCCTTTTGGTCGGAAGTTTTGCAAGCCTAGCCCTTGTCTAGTTTTTGCTATGGTTTGCGAAGCAATGTTCCTGGACCTGGTTTCGAGTGTGTACTATCTGCGCGACACCCTGCAAAGGCCGGAGGTCTCTCCGCGGTCGTTCAAGCTGATTTACACAAAAGAGTGGCATGAACGCTATCATTCCTTCAAGCTCCCAGGTCGCGGGAACTTTGTCCAACATTTGCTGTTGAACTGGTCGGACGTCAAGTTCGGACATGACTACAATGTTTTCAACACCGAGACAGCGGGAAGGTTTGTGGAAGGCTGGCTTGCCTGGTTAATGGTGAGCGATGATTCTGATGACTGGTCGGAGGCGAAGCACGCTCTGGCCACAGCATGGTTGCGTACGATAGATGCGCTCCTTGCCGTGCTGAACCACATCTACACCAACATGCCAAGGCTTTACACCAGGATCAAAGCCACCACTACCATGGAAGAGGTTTGGGAACTTTTACAGGAAGCCAAGGCCGGAGTCTAAGACCAAGGCCCTGGCCGGAATCGACTTGACTTGGATAATATCCATTCAAGTCTTATTTTGGAATTGGCCGGACCTGGCCGGACCATGGCTAGGCCAGGTCGTGATTGTTGTAATGTTTGTTGTAATGTGCTATGAAAACACCGACTGGTAAAACACACTGACTTGCACTAGCGGACCTGGCTGGACCTGGCCGGACCTGGCCGGACCTCGCCAAACCTGGCCAAACCTGGCCGGAGGAATCGACTTGTAATCCAAGTCGTG